CCCAGCTACTTGGGAGGATGAGGCAAGAGAATTGCTTAAGCCCAAAAGTTTGAGGTTGCTGTGAGCTGTGACGCCATGGCACTCTACCCAGAGCGACAGCTTGAGCTGTGTCTCAAAATAATAATAATAATAATAGTTCTGCCTCCATAGCATTTAGTACTACTAGTTCAATAAATAATTGTTGACCACAAGAAGGATCTGTCATCTTTCCTTTTAATTATCTTTTTTCCTATTAGGAGGCATGAAACCCCAAGTTAGAGAATGATATTGCTTTTTTCTCTCCTGAAATCTCTTCATTTTCCCTCAGCACTTCAGAGGACTTGACATGTCCACATCCTCCATACCTGTCTCCGCTACCACAGTATAGTATCTCCTTCAGTTCAAAGATGATAATCTGGAGTCACCTTCAAGTGGACATGTGACATTGAAGAACACATTTACTTCAGTGTGTCCAGCCCCCAGCTCTTCTGACTAAGGGCTTACATATGTGAGACAGCTGCTTTTTTTTTTTTTTTTTTTTTTTGAGACAGAGTCTCACTTTGTCACCCAGGCATCATAGCTCATAGCAACATCAAACTCCTGGGTTCAAGCAATCCTCCTGCCTCAGCCTCCCAAGTAGTTGGGACTACAAGCACCCACCACAATGACAGGCTAATTTTTTTATTTTTAGTAGCGACAGGGTATCAGTCTTATTTAAGCTGATCTCCAGCTCCTGAGTTCAAGTGATCGTCCTGCCTTGGCTTCCCAGAGTGCTAGGATTACAGGCATGAGCCATGGTGCCGGCTGGAGAGAGCTGCTTTGAATGAGGATAAAGGACCTAGGTGGATAGAAGAAATTAACTGGGATACATGACCTGCCCTAATTGTGACCTCATTAACACTCTTCCTTGACTGACTTAACTGCTACAGAATCCCCAAAGTCCAATAGACCTGCCAAGCCAATTTGCTTACTGTCCCCCTACTAATTAGATTAGCTAATTACTGCCATTTAAATTTTTCCTAGTTTATCCCCTGTATTTGATTTACTGCCACATCCCTGCCATTGTACATCAATAACTTCCTTCAAATACTGATTTCAGAATACACCTCCTCGGCTCGGCACCTATAGCTCAACCGGCTAGGGCGCCAGCCACGTACACCTAAGGTGGCGGGTTCGAATCCCCAGCCCGGACCTGCCAAACAACAATGACGGCTGCAACCAAAAAATAGCCGGGCGTTGTGGCGGGCGCCTGTGGTCCCAGCTACTTGGGAGGCGGAGGCAGGAGACTCGCTTGAGCCCAGGAGTTGGAGGTTGCTGTGAGCTGTAATGCCACGGCACTCTACCCAGGGAGACAGCTTGAGGCTCTGTCTCAAAAAAAAAAAAAAGAATACACCTCCTCCAGGAAGACCCTCTCAGCTGAACCCATCCCTCAACATTACTCCAAACACATTACACCACATGAACTAGCGTGTATCCTATATTCTCTACTTGTTGTATGTGTATATGTGTGTTCTTTAAGTTGTAAGCTCCTCAAAAAGAGACATAATTACTTCTGCACTTGATCTTAGCCAAAAGGCTGAGAAGTAATGAGACACCATTACCTACCTCTGAATAAGTCAATCCTTTTTTTTTTTTTTTTTGCAGCTTTTGGCCAGGGCTGGGTTTGAACCCACCATTTCCAGCATATGGGGCCAGCGCCCTACTCCTTTGAGCCCCCTCAGAATAAGTTAGGACCCTATACATGATGAGTCTTCACATTTGTGAGAGGAAAGAAAACGGAGTTTTTAAAAGATAGGCATCTGCCTAGAGTTAACCAAATGTGAATTCTGTAGTTTGAATACACAAGTACTATCTACAGAAGAGAATTTGCCACCACTTTGGGCTTCCTTCTCCTCCACCTTTTGTGTCTCCCTGAGTCCTGAAGGTATCAGCGCTACCTACCTACATCACATCCCTTTTTTCCCTACTGGGAAATCCTCTTTCTGTGCTCTGAATAATATTAAAAATAACTCTTCTAGCCCTTCCTCCACCTTATAGCCACACAGATAATCAGGCTTGGCACTTTCCTTTTTCACCTCCATCCGCAAGCCAGACCCAGGCACATGACCCTAGCTCAACCCCTAACTCTGATTCATCAGGTTACCAAGAGCTATTTTGGGCAAGGGATACTATTTATTCCCCTCCTCCCCATCCTCTGGGCTATATCCTACCCTTCCTGGAAGGCCCATCATATCAGATAGCCAAGTCCTAACACCCATATCCATCTGATCCCTAGCTGCTTTTGGTTTCTACTTCTACCTTCTCCTCCTTCTCCTCCTCCTCCTCATCAAATATTAAATGCCTGCTTCCATCTCTTGATTTGCTGAAGCTAAAATAAATAAATAAATAATATATACCTTTGCCTATATAAAGCTCAAAATTCTTTTTCCATTAAAAAATCAGGGCAGCACCTGTGGCTCAAGGAGTGGGGCAAAGGCCTCATATGCCAGAGGTGGCGGGTTCAAACCCAGCTCTAGCCAAAAACTGAAAAACTGCAAAAAAAACACCCAAATCAAATAGGCCAGACACCGTGGCTCACACCTATAATCCTAGCACTCTGGGAGGCCAAGGCAAGTGGATTGCCTGAGTGCACCAGTTTGATACCAGCCTGAGCAAGAGTGAGACCCCTGTCTCTAAAAATAGCCAGGTATTGTGGCTGGCACCTATAGTCCCAGCTACTCCAGAGGTTGAGACAAGAAAATCTCTTGAGCCTAAGAGTCTGAGGTTGCTATGAGCTGTGATGGCTGGGTGAGGTGGCTCATGCCTGTAATCCTGGCACTCTGGGAGGGTGAGGCAGGTGGATTGCCCTGAACTTACAGGTTCAATACCAGCTTGAGCAAGAGCAAGACTCTGTCTCTAAAAAAATAATCAGGTGTTGTGGCAGGCACCTGTAGTCTCAGCTACTTGGGAGGCTGAGGCAAGAGAATCATTTAAGCCTAAGAGTTTGAGAGGTTTCAAAAAAAAGCACTAACAAAGGGAAACTAGCCTGTTAATCAGGGGAGGACTTCCTGGTTAATAGGTAAGTTTTTTTCATTTTGTTTTGTTTTAGAATGAGCCAAATTTAGCAGTGGGGTTAAACAATATTTTAAATTTTATTTTCGGCTCAGCGCCTATAGCTCAACTGGCTAAGGCGCCAGCCACGTACACCTAAGGTGG